GGAGGGGATTTGAGTGCAGCATCTACAGTGTCAGTGCAAATCAATCAAGAAATTCCATCTTTAGTACAGGTGGACCTGCGTTTTTAAAGTAACAAAGGAGAGAACAGTGTGCACCACATACAAAGGAGAAAGTTACTTAAAACAGGATTCCATTCATGATGGGGCTTTGGGACGCTTAGCAGACACATTAGACTAGTGCCACTGGAATCCAAAGTCCTTTAATATTATTACTAAAGATCCGGTGCATGAAATTCATGCATGGGGGGGGGGGTGTCCTTCAGCTCGGCCTACACCCTTTCCAATCTGGGACCCCTCCAGGCATGTCTGATTGCCCTTTAGGACCGATCATATTGGGATTGAGCCTAAACAGGCAGTTGGACATCCCTCTCACAATCCAGGACTGCTAGCTCCCAAATGCTCACCTGCCTGCCTTCCTGATTGCCCCTAACCACTCCCCTGCCAGCCTGATGATTGATGCCTAACTGCTCCCCTGCCAGTCTGTTTGCCCCTAACTGCCCTCCACTGCAGGCCTGGTCCCCTCCAACTGCCCTCCCCTACAGGCCTGGTCCCTCCCAACTGTCCTCCCCTGCTGGCCTGATTACCCACAACTGCCCTCCCTTGCAGACCTGATCCCTGAAGAGATTGCTGGTGTCTTTTATTTGAGCTTAGAACATCCTGCTTATACCAACAGGCAATAACTTTGTTCCGATTTAAGATAATGTCATTTTTCATTTTATTCAGTAATTCAGCAATAATTTATATGCTTAGACAATCATGGGTACAGGCTGAGGCTCCACCCTGAATTGCCTTGAGGAAGCCTCCACGCTAACCTCTGCGTGTACTCATGCTAATCTTTCTCTAGAGTATGTTTTCCTCTGTTGCATCTGTGTCGTTTTGAAATTAACTTAGAGCCCAACCTGAGAATGTTGAAAGCAATTGTGAAGATCTTCACCGACATCTGAGAAGCAAATTTCTTCGGCATCAGCCCCATCCTTGTGGGTTTTCAGATGGTTCTGAGTTTTTTAAAGGCCTATCAACGATATACTCCAGGCATGTTTACACTAACTAGTAGAATTAGCTCATTGATAATTCCCCTAGTATTGGAAATCCTGCTACCTGGTGGCCAAAGCACATTCTCCACCTGTTCTTCCTTACCCACCTTCAAAGAGGAGGCGGGGGAAGGCCGCTGCCCACGTTCCCAGCTCCCCAGGCAGGTGAGGGCTGCCACGTGACTGCTCTGGCAGTGAGATGGGGAAGGATATATGATTCCCTACTAAGAGATGGGCGAGGAAGCACAACGGCCTTGCCCATTCTCCTTGCCTTCCTGATTCCCGCCTTGGAAGGCAGCTTGGCGTTGGAAATTGTGACAGCCATCTCGGAAGATGAAGCAGCGAGTCCGACAATGAGAAGCCAGAGTGTCAGGTGCAGCAGAGGGGAAAGAACGAACCTGGGTCAGCGATGACACTATTGAGTCACTGATCAGTATCTGTCCCCACCCACCTCCAGACTCCTCGCTCTACAGGCAAGACACACACCCCGTTGGTTTCAGCTCCTACAGAGGACTCAGCTACTCATAACTGAACACAATCTAACGCCACCCCCCCTCCCAGTTGAGCATTTTATTTGTGGAAAGGAAAACGGAACTAAAGTGTTGACACCTGATCATTTACACGTATGCTTATTTGTAGGAAAATATTGGATTTTGGAAGAAACCTAGAGAAGAATTATCCTTATTTAAAAGTTTAGGCCATTTTATGCCCGTCTGGCTCAGTGGTTGAGCGTCATCCTATGAACCAGGAGGTCATGGTTTGATTCCTAGTCAGGGCACATGTCTGGCTTGTGGGCTCAATCTCTATTAGCTGGGGTGTGGGGGGGGGGCATACAGAAGGCAACCAATCTCTCTCGTCATTGATGTTTCTATCTCTCCCTTCCTCTCTGAAGTCAAATATATATATATAAATATAAATATATATATATATATATATATATTTGACTATATAATTTAAAAGTTTGGTCATTTTTTAAAAGTTACATTAACCTTTTTTAAAATATATTTTTATTGACTTTAAAGAGGAAGAAAGAAGGAGGGGGAGAGATACAAGCATCAATGATGAGAGAGAATCATGGATTGGCTGCCTCCTGCATGCCCCCTACTAGGGATCGAGCCCACAACCCAGGCATGTGCCCTGACCAGAACCCGGGACCCCCTAGTTCGCAGGCCAATGCTCTATCCACTGAGCCATCCCGGTTAGGGCAGGTTTGGTCATTTTAACTGCAGAAGCAAAGAGGGGCCACCTCAGGCCACAATGCATGGCACCAGTTCTGAGGGATGTGTGTGCAGATAACTTCTCTATGACTAAGCACCACATGGGAATCAATCCCCGGACCCTTCAGTCCGCAGGCTGATGCTCTATCCACTGAGCTCAATCAGTTTCGGCTATGTTCTTATTATTATACCCTGTTTCTGTGAAAATAAGACAGTGTCTTATATTAATTTTTGCTCCCAAAGATGCACTAGGTCTTATTTTCAGGGGATGTCTTATTTTTCCATGAAGAATACGGTACACATTTATTGTTAATGAAAATAAAGGAAATTTATTACCTGTATATGGTACAGTAGTACGGTTGTTGTCAACACAAATCAGACAAACTGTGAATCCTACAGTATCAAGAATTTACTCATTTATTCAATGACAATCATATCATCATCTTCTGGAACATCATCATAACAATCCAATTCCTGAATTTCCTGAATTTCTTGTGACTCCATTTCTTTCAGAATCAGTGGACCAAATCTCTCATGTTTAGCCTGGGGGAGGGGGGGGGCTTATTTTCGGGGGATGCCTTATATTTCACTCAGAAGGAAACCTGTAAGTCTTATTTTCGGAGGATGTCTTATTTTCGGGAAACCACGGTAGATTGTCCTTTTCTACCTCTGACTACAAGCTCTGGAAAATAACCCCGAAATGAAGTGGACAGCACTGGCATAGCTCAGACTGGGGCTGGGGAGAGGATGCGAAGCTGACAAGGTGACCTGTGAGGGTCACGGTCACTTCGGGGCAGAATGGAATGCAGTGACCGTGCCAATCTGGGGCGAGTGACGTGGATACGTGGGACCCTCAGTGGAGGCGATGTTTCCCAGGCTCTGAGCTCCCTTCTCTGGAGAATGCCGCAGGCCTTTAGGAAAAAAAGAAAGCCTTCTCCGACAGTGATATTTGCCTTCTGATTTGCATTTTTATTTTTAAGAGGTTTGGTACTCAATGGTTAACACAGGTACATCTCAGGGCGTCTGGAGGGCGTGGTCCAGGATCTGCACAGACGGTTTTGTCTTTCTGTCTTCAAATGGCTGCTGAGCATTTCACCCAGGGACGCCTGGACGCTGGCTTAGGAACTCCCGAGGCAGTGGTGCTGGGCAGAGGAACAAAGACTTTTTGATGGGCCATCAACTGAGGCACATACCTGTCTGCCCGCCTTGGCTCCCTCCGCACATGCTCAGTGCAACAGAACCGTTTCCAGTGAATGCAACCTACAAGGCAGCGCACCCAGCCCACTCCGGGCTGGGCCCTGCACACGCCCTCGGGTTGTATTTTGATCCCGAATCGTATAGATAGCGGGGGGGGGGGGGGGTCTGGGAGCTTGGGGGAGGGGACAAAGGGGCTTCAAGCCTGTGTCCTTGCCTTCCTGTCCTCTCTCCAGGCTGTCCGTCTGCGGCGGGCACAGGTGCTGGACAGCTATTTGTCGGGTTGGGGCAGCGTGCGGGAGAGCTATGGCTAGAGATCGCCACGCGTTGTTGCACGCCAGCCTGGACAGTGCTGGTCTGGTCTCTCCTCAGAGGTGGGCGCCCCCGCCCCCGCCCCCGCCCTGGCCGTGATGACAGAGTGGCGGTGACACTGAAGGCATCCTCCGCCCAGCGCGTCTGCAGCGACAACCTGGACCCCTTTCTCCAGCTGCCCATCCATCTGGCTCGCTCCCAGCCCAACCTGGGAGAGGCCGGCGGGGGTGACAAAGGGGGGAGGGGTGGGTGCGGCCGGGGCTCCCCACCTCCCCCCGCGGATCGCCCCACGTGCGCTCGATCGCGGACCTTTTGTCCCCGGCCCCGCGCGCGGCTCGGCCCGGGGGGCGGAGGTGATGACCCCGACCGCCCCCGCCTCCTCCCGCCGCGGCCGCCCGCGCGCCCCGAAGCCGCCCCCCAGCCTCCCAGCCCCGGCGCCCGCCCGATCGCCGTGACGTGTCGGGCGGCGCGCGCATGCGCCGCTGAGCCCGTGCCTCCGGCCCCGCGCCCGGCGGGGAGTGGGCGGGGCGTGCGGGCCCGGCCGCGGCGGAGCGGGCGGAGGGCGTGTGCGCGAGGCGGCGCGGGGCCGGAGCTGGTCGGCGGCTCGGGCGGCCGAGGAGGAGGAGGAGGAGCCGAAGGCGGCGGCCCGGCTCCCGCCCGAGCGGACAGCCAGTCCCGCGCAGCCCCCTCCCACTCCCCGGCGGGCGGCGGCGGGAGGAGGCGGAGGACGGAGCGTCTCTGCCGCCGCCTCCCGGTCCCCGGCGCGGATCTGCCGCCGCCACCTCCCCGAGCGGCGATCGTCGCCCCGCGGTGCCCCCACCCCCGTGGGCAGAGCCGCCCCGCGCCGCGCCGGAGCCGGCGCCGCCGAGGGAGCGCTCGCGGCCTCGGGCCCGCCGGGCTGTGCCGGGCGGAGATCGCGGTCCCCGGGGAGCCGCACGCCGGCAGCGCGGCCCGAGCAGCGCGGGGAGCAGCGGGCGGGCGGGCGGCGCCGGGCCCGGGCCGCCCTCGCTCCCGCGCCCCGGCCCCGCCGCCCGCGCCGGGAGGTCGCCCGCGGAGGGAGGCGCCGCAGTCCCCGGGCCTCGCCGCCCCGCTCGATCCGGCGTCCCCGGCTCCGAGGGCTCGCGCGGCCCGAGGGGAGGAGGCGATCGCGGGGCCGGGCTCAGCTCTTGGGCGCCCCCACCCCCGTTCTCGGAGCCCTCCGCGCCGCGGCCGCCGGCCCCTCCGGACCATGGCCGACGACGACGTGCTGTTCGAGGACGTGTACGAGCTGTGCGAGGTGATCGGCAAGTGAGTGTCCGCGCCGGGGCCGGGTGGGGAGCCGCCCGCAGCGATGCCCGCGTCCAGCCGCGCCCGGGCCCGACCCCTGCCCGCCGTCCCCTCCCCTCCCCCGCCCGGTCCCGCTCGCCCCGGGTCTCTCCGGACGGTCCCTGCCCTTCTGCCTGGCGGGGGCCGGGGCCCGGGCTGCCCGGCGGCCGCCGAGCCGCGATCGGCCAGCCCACGAGGCGGGAGCCGGCTGCGAGCCGCCGCCTGCCTCCTGCCCGCCGGGCGCCGGGGACGTGGCCGGGGCGATCTGGCCGCCGCTCCCGGGAACAGTCGGGGTTATTGTTACCTCCGGCCCCGCAGACCGGAGCGGAAAGAACAGCCCGCCTGCCCGGGGCCGGGGCGGAGAGGGGAGCGGGAAGGACCGGGCTGTTAGCTGGGGTGTGTGTCTATTGTGCGGGATATTGGACACATGCCTTTGTGCTCGCCCCGTGCACCGATCGCGGGGGGCGGGGGGCGGTCATGTCAGACCGGGTGCATTCCTCACTTGGTGGACACTAACGTGGAAAGAGTTCGGGGGGTGGGGGGCGGGGGGATCGGGGGTCGGGATTTGAAATGCCTCGTTATGCAATGCCGGCTCCATCCGTGTCCCAGGCTCCCTCCGCTGCTGGGACGGATGGTGGCCAGCGCGGCGGAGCCGGCCGCCCAGTCAGTCCCCGAGCCGGGCTAGACAGAGAACTGACAAGGGAACGCTCATCCTCCCATCTGGGCCGGCTGATTGCATGGGGGGGTGGGGGTGGAGGCAGGCAATCAGATTAATCACCGTGCCGATCGAGAATTAAATCTGCGGCTCCTCATCTAATTGTCCGTCCCTGAAATGTGTTTGCAATAGTTTCCTTTTCATTCCCATCAGACACTCCTCCGAGTGCACAACCCTGCTCGTCCGCCTGCAGGGAAGCGCTGGCCATCTGAAGTTCATTGCCTAGTTCCGCGTGTGTGTGTGTGTGTGTGTGTGTGTGTGTGTGTGTGTGTGTCTCGGGCGAGGCTTTCGAAGTTGAGCCCATAGGATTGGGGAGCAATCTGGGCTGCTTTGTGGCTTGCTAGGTGGCCACCATGGGAATAGTCCCCTCCTCCGGAGGCCTGCCTTGTCGGCCAGCCGAAGGTCTGTTGGCATTTGTCTTTGAAGTTGTCCGCAGTGCCGGCTTTCAATTTGTCTAAGTGCTGATAAGTCATCTTCCCCTCGCATGTGGAGGTATTCCAGCGCCGCCTCACATGGCGATCGCGGGCAGAGCTGGCTGCACACTTTGCTCAGACTCCGCTCATACGGCGACATGCACCTCCTTGCCCTATTGTTTGCCCATGATCCGCCTGGGGATTAGGAGATCCAGATGTGCCCCGATTAAGTGATGGCAGAAGTGCCCCAGAGCCGCGCTGTCCAAGAGGGAGCGAGCCCGGGAGCCACGCATGTCATTTTACATGTCAGTTTCCTGTGTGCATGTTCTAAACGCCGCCTTTAGCAGATTGCAAACGGACTTTTAATAAAATAATGGTCTTGAGCCCCACAGAGCCAGACTAGGATCATTTCAGCATGTCATTGGGATAGAAATTATTAAGGACATATTTGACAGCCTTTCCCTGTACTCCGTGTGTTTTACACCGACAACACACTACGTTTTCAGGGGGGATATTTGACCTGAATTTAGTTGTCATGAAATTTGCATGTGCAGAAATAGATTCACATGCCGGAGTTGTTCCAAGCATACCTAAAAGTTTTCTAATAACGGAATGAATGACCTCTTTCTACATTTAAATTTAAACGAATTAAAACTAAATAAAATTCAGAATTCAGTTTCTCCCTCGGACTGGCCACGTTTAAAGTGCTCAGCAGCCCTGTAGGAACAGCACAATGCTGGAAGCAAATGGAAAGACACACCCTCAGCTTCTTCATTCTTAACACCATTAGGGGTGAATTCGATATTTCCCCAAAGCCCCCAAATGATTGTGTGTGTGTGGGGGGGGGGGGGTAAATGCTGTTTGTTATATGTTAGTTATATTTGGTGTAAATGAGCCAGCCAAGTCATAATTGGAAACGGTGAGGTTCCAGTGTTATTTATATGGTGATGACGGAATATAGCCATCATTAAATCAATGTTAGTTACCAGTTCTGATTCCTCAAGGTCTGGGCAGGTGATGGTAGTGCTCTTTGGATATGGAGAAGTGGTCAGCGCCACATGAGCGCCATCAATATTCCGCTGACTTGTAATTGATAGAGGATTCGCGGGAAACACTTCTGATAGGACTGAATCTGGCTCTTCTGTGGCTTCTGAGCTGCAGGGAATCTTGAGGAGGGCGAGCCCGGGTATTCTGTGCAATCTCATTCCGATCCTACACACCCTGACTTGGTCAGTGATTTTCTCACGGGGACCTTAACAGCATACATTTTAACTTAGAATTTGTTCAACTCCAGATGAAAGCCGAATGCCCCGAACATGCTCATTTGTCCTGAAAAGCTTTCTGTGGATTGCTCTCCAGGTTCTCTGGCGCTGTGATTTCCTTTTGTGCCAAATAGTACAACAAGTTGGTTTCGACCCCCGGGTCTTAATAGGTTTACATTTCCCCCCAGTTGCTAGATTGTGCTTTTCAAGATCAGCTGACCCCCCCCCACCCACTCCCCTACCTCACCTGCCACTCTCATCCGCTTTCTGAAAGGAATCATGTGCCTGAGTCCTTATGAATATGGACAAGATGTTAACTCTTTCATTTTTAAGATTTAAAATATTTTTCCGTGGTTCTTATTTTTGAACGTTTTACAAAGGATCCTTTGAACGACCCTAGTTCCCATCACATTTTCCTGTGTAACGTCTTTGAAGCAACTGGAACAAACCTCCACCCATGGGGCCTCAGCACGGCCCCAGGACTTTGTCTCCTCAAATAACGGAAAGGGAAGGTGTTATGCAAATACAGGTAATTGGCCGATGCTTTTCCTGACCGTCAGCTTTACCTTAGCGGATTTCTAGTTTCACAGGTAAGGATGCCATCGGTACTGTTCCGAGAGGAAATTGGAAGATGATTCATCCCAATGAAAACATAGAAACCACTTCCCAGGCCAGTAGTTTCTGTGAAAGGGAATAGCAATTTACACACTGTCTTCACCTCGCGTGGGCTGAGCACATGCCCGTGGATTCAGTAACCTGCACCTTCTGACTTACCTGCTTTGGGGGGACACGTGGTCCAGGGGGACCCCTGCAGCACGCCCCGGCCCCGCCGTGACAGGCTGTCTGTGCTTACACCTGCAGAGTTCTCCTCATATCTCATTGCAGTGATGTATCTGTGACTCCCTCTAGTTTACTGGGCGCTTCCTGAGGGCAGGGGACCTGTCCCTCTCCATTCCTTCCCCCGGGGCCTGCAAGGTAACATCCTCCAGTAGCTCTGGAATGATTGAGGCGTTTTCATAAAACCCCCTTAGAATGCCCAACGCCTATCTATCAGCCTATCTATCAGCCTCGGAGCAGTGAGCGGATGAAAAGGCTGCACTGGCTTACGGGAGCGCCCGCCACCTGCTGCGGGTGAGAACCGCCAGAAGCTTTGGAGCCAGATCCATCGTGTGTCCCTGTGTCAGAGCAATGCAATCAGGGCGGCCAGAGCGGGCCTGGTCGCCGATAATTCTGTAAAGCTCTCTAAATGGCTCTAACGAGCAGCTACAATTGACAGGCATTCCTCTGTGTATGGAATGGTTTGGGTCTGGCTTTTAAAAACTGGAATGAACGTGTGTGTGTGTGTGTGTGTGTGTGTGTGTGTGTGTGTGTGTGTGTGTGTGTTGGGGGGGAGTGGTTGAAGCCAAAAGAAGAAACGTGGATTTTCCTTTCTCTGTGCTGACTGAGCCTTGTTAGGGAAGGATTTTGTCTCAGCCTGTGTTTGGCCTTGATTTCCTTGGTCTTTCAAGATTCCCACAGATTCATGACGCTCATCTGATGATAGCATGGTGAGGGATGTTTGGAACCACATGAGGCAAGGATTGCTTCAAGAGCAGTTGATGCTGGCTAGCCACTAGAATGCCTCAATTTTATATTAAGAAACTGGTTGGGCTCAGTGGACTGAAGGGTCCCAGGTTAGATTCTAGGCAACGGCATGTACCTTGGTTGCAGGCACATCCTCAGCAGGGGGTGTTCAGGAGGCAGCTGGTCGATGTTTCTCTCTCATCGATGTTTCTAACTCTCTCCCTTTCCCTTCCTCTCTGTAAAAAATCAATAAAATATATTTTTTTAAAAAGAAAGTTATTGATTCAGTATGGATTGTGTTTGCGCATACACTCAAGAGTATGGTTAAGTCGCTTATACTTATATAAGGGTGTCCCCAAAAATGTATACGTGCACTTTGGATAATTACAAAGGAAGCATTTATTAAAATATATTCCCTTTACAAAATTGAGCTATCCGCTGTTAAAGTGTCTATACATTTTGGGAGCGGGCACAGACTCTAAAGTCCATACTTGTGGTTCCAATAATGCCATTTACCAGAGAACTGAGTTAAATGCAGCCTTTATGTAAATACTGGTTTAATATGTAATTTAATTTAGAGAAAAATTCAGCTTTACTGTTTGTACTAATGACTAAGGCCTTCACCTATATTGATTGGCCCGCTGATTTGGTTTTCTATCACCATGACAACGGGGTGGGGTATTACATTACATTGGAACATCTTTCCTGGACGCCTTACTTAGACATTGTAAGTGAATTGGTTTCTAATGTTAGGGAAAGGTCACATGTGAGCCTGAGAGAACCAGCCATTGGCCAGACCCGTCACACGTGGGGTGGGTCCCCGCACAGCAGGCCTTATGGGAAGTCCCAAGCAGTGCCCATCCTGTCTGGGACCATTTGAGATGGAACTGAGCTACTCAGTTTGTTTTTTGCATCCGCACATCTTTCTCTGAGTCTCATCGGTCTGCTTTGTGCAGACTGCCTGGGGCCTGGGGTTTCTGGGAGGGTGGTTTTCACGTTATCTTCCTGTCATAGAAATTTCCTGTCACT